TGTGCACTTTCTGCTCGTATGTTAGTTTAGTTGCATCATATGTGCTTGTCAGCTCCACCGTTGTTCCTGAGGGTTCACGTGACACCGAGGTCTGCTGCTCCTATGGAGACGGTATTCCCTGCCTACTGTACAGAGAGCCGGTACACCACTGGGAGGTGGGGGAAGATTGTCAACAGCACAGCTTGCTTCACTTTATCACCCTGACTCTTTGTTGTTGCTCTCCCTCGCTCTCTGCTGAGCTCACTTTAGTCTCCGTTCGTCCCAGGATCAATGCCGCGTGGTTCCTGCAGGCAGACCAAGAGGCTGACAGTGACGACTACTGAGGGATCAAGCAAGGCGATCAGATTGTTTCCTCATTCTAATTTGTCCAGAGGATGCTGATGGGATCAATAAGGTCGCTTTGCAAGCTAGCCCGTGTGCTTGTGCTCAGCGCTCCTACAGGAGGGTGTGTGGACGGTAAACACTGGTCGATAGGAAATGGACTTTTCTGTGTGTTCTCACCACTAGAGGCTACTGTTGATCTCTTTATGAAATGCAGTGGAGACGCCACAAGACGGTGCACTGTAGATGTAGTATCACTAGTTTATGTTTCTTATGATTTATGTGCCACGAATAAGTATTTGCCCCCCTTGCCTGATTTCTTAGTTTTTTGCATATTTGTCACACTTACATGTTTCAGATCATCAAACAAATGTTAACATTAGACAAAGATAATGCAAGAAAATATAAAACACAGTTTTTAAATGATCATTTCATTTATTAAGGGCAAAATGCTATCCAAATCTACCTGCCCTGTGTGACCTATTGACTCAAGAGTCAAATAAAACTTATATGAAAAATTAATTGAGGTAAAAGATCTCAAAAATAAACCGATTCACCTTCCCAGCAGTGGTTAGACTACCAAAATCACTCTATGAGCACATCAAAAACTCATCCAGGGTGGCACTAAACAATATCTAAAGAACTGCAGGACTCAGTTGCCTGATTTAAGGTCAGTGTTGATGAATTAACATTAAGAAAGACTGGGCAAAAATGGCATCCATAGGAGATTTCCAAGGCAAAAACCACTGCTGAACAAAAAGAACATCTTGAATCCACAAGACATCTGGGAAAATGTTCTGCAGGCTGAGGAGAGTTGAACTGTTTGGAAGGTTTGCTTCTCGTTACATCTGGTGTGAAACTAACACCAGTTCATAAAAAGAAAGTCCGTTTTGTCCTTATTTATCCAAATGAAAATCTTTGGTGTGACTTTAAACGAGCCTTTCATGCTTGAAAAGCCTCCAGTTTGGCTGGATTAAAATCATTTTTGCAAATGATATAAAAAAAAAAAAAAATATAAAAAAAAATGCTTGATTGCAGTTCTTTTTGTCGAGACTGGCCAATTATCAGGGTGCAATTACTTTTTCACATGGAGCCAGGTAGGTTTAGCTTTTTTTCATCTTAATAAATCGTTATTAACAAACTGCATTTTGCATTTACTCTGCTTATCTTATCTAATATTTAATTTTCTTGATGATCTGAAACATGTAAGTGTGATAAATATGCAAAAAAAAAAGAGAAATCAGGAAGTGGGCAATATACATCGCTATATTTCACAGACTTATTAATCTTGCTATCTTTCCAACTTTGCTATGCTGAAAATCATATCATTATTTCAAATGTATGCATTATTATATGTAAGTTGGCGTTGTCCAAAATGCAACACATAGCATTTGTCATAGAAAACATGTTTCAGTGACACTTTGCCTTTTAGACTTAATGGTCTGGCACCCCTAATTTTCTTTGTCAACCAAAAGACCCTCAAGATGTAATGTCTTTCAAAAATAGTAAGAATGAAAAATTAAAATGAAATTAAAGTAAAAAGTAAAAAAATAAGTTGGTCACAGAAAAACAATCACAGCGTCTTGTTAATTGCCTCAGAACCCTTCACATGTATCACAGAACCTCTTGTGGAGATGAAAAACTGTCAGGCCATTAGTAATCATCACTGCTCAAAGTTCAGCTTCTACAAACTCTCCTTTTTACTTGAGAGACTCATGAGTGGCTGAAATAGTTTGTCTAGCATCCAGGTTTTTAATCCTATTCTAGTTTTGTTGACATTCAGACTGTAGCCATGATAAACTTGTGTGGACATTAAAGCACCCAGGCTTCATGGCTGCTATCAAATCTAAAATTTGACAGTCAAATTGGATTTAGCCATTGTATGAGATGATGAGAGTACTTGATCCTGTGATGAATGAAAATGTAAGAAGTAAAGAAGAGACAAAAGAAACACCCTTCAACAATGTCAAGAGTGCTGATGTCACATTATTTGTCCACCAGAGGGCACTCTGTAGCTTCGCTAATGGGAGTGTGTGTTTGGATTTCCACAAACACAACAAGCTGCTGCTCCGAGTCAGGCAGAACATATGAGTAAGACACGACTTCTTGTGACAGTAAAAAAA